TATCAACGACTGTCAGCTGTTTGCACCCCTGTGCTATTTACATTTTTTTTTTAAAAAACACATCACATAACCCTCGTGCTTTTTTCTATTGTTGGACAAAAATAGTCAATTATATCATTTATCAAATGAAAATTATTTTGCTTATAATAGTAATAGCATACCTCTCCTCCACAAGTCAATTTAAGGCATAAATCATGGCTGTAGCACAAATGGTGCAGGTCAAACTACACACCAAAATAAAATACTTTGGGGTTCGTTCAAATCCCTAATCTTTAGTATTAACAACAAAAGTGTTGCTTCCCTTAGCAAGACCTCTAATTATGATTAAAGTTTTCTTTTATCCGAGTAAGAAAGAATGTCTTATTTTGCTGCAGGCAAGTTGAGGCAAGCAGGCCAATGGAAGGGGCCAAAAAACTTCAATAATCCAGACAAATGTCCTTTCATTTACCTCAGATAAAGCCACCACCTGCAAGACAAAGCATAAAGGCATCTCTCTTACCTGTAAAATGTCCTCTGGATAAAATATAAATCAGCAGATAAATCTTGGAAGCACTCAAAAGTACCATGTCGTCTTAGCTCAAAAGGTGCTTGAGGAATGTTTCTGGTTTTGCATGCCTGAACCACACTAACTAGGCATACACAGACTTGTTGAAGTCTGTAGATTTGAATCCAGTTGCTAAAGTATAATGGGATTTTTCAATACGTTTTGTTCAGGGAAACGAGAGAAATGCCAATGGCATGTTCTAAGCAAAAGGGTCCCCCACATTCATGTTCTTCCAAGGCTTTAAAGAGGATTTTTTTTCTTTTGGGAAACTTCCAGAAATCTCATTGTATAGTCGACTGCAGGGGAGAACAGAAATTCTCATGGGTGTGTGGTACAGTAAATGAATTTCCAGCCTTGCTCAGGTTCTGTTCCAAATGGCTTGGTCTACATGTTAGCATATTTACATATATATATATATATATGAGTTGAACATGTGCCAATTCAAACAGCCGAACAACGTTCAGCAACCAGCAGTTCTTGGATAATAGTTCAGACAGGATTGTAGGGAGCATTATGAACAACTTCTTGGCACATTTCAATAGCATGATACATAATGAAAGTTTTATGGCCTCCAAGCTTTTTTAGGAATGAAAATCTGACTCCACCTCCAAAACCTTCAGCCTGGATGTGATTGGCCACTGAAGCACGACCTGATCTAAGTTAGTGACATCATTCAAGATGCCCCCCCAGAAGCTTTCACTCAGAGGTTACTTTAGGACATTGAAGAACTGAAACATCATACACCTTCACCACCACCCAGGATTTCATCTGTTACGAGTCCCTGGAGTCAAACCAAAGGTTTCATTGATTTCTATCGATATATTTGTTGCGAATTACTCTTAAACACTCAAACATATGGGATGACCATTACGAATTCCTGCTCCCACCAAAAGTTGTACTGCAGTGATTTGTATTGAAATATTAAACAACATCCCATAACACTACCATGGATAATTTCATGCTACCAATGCACAATATCCCTGTAGTTTGTTGTCTTAATTATTAACTGAAAACAGATTCAGGACTGTATGCAGATGCTCAAAGTTGGAACAAAGGCGCCCCCTAACTTATAAATAAAATTCTGAGGAACATCTGAACCATAAAGAACTACCAGAGTGATTCAGGATATACACTAAAATAAAACATTCAGGAAATGGATTCCTTTGCAATATGGGAACTTGAGGGTTATGATTAGAAATATTAGTGATCTAATACTCCAGTGATTACACTTCCACAAAATGTAACCGTTTGATCTTTTGACATTTAAAAGTCATGCAAAAAGTGCATTTATTTATAATGGTTTATTAAAAACCAGTCCTCCTACACAATGAAAGTCATGCTCTGAATAATCAAGATGTATTGAGCAATTGGCTGGTGGAAATGATGGTAATGCCATCTGTTTGCTCAGTTTAGAAACGCAATACATCTAACACTCTAACCAAGACTACAGAGAGATGCCACATATTATTAAGCTGTGCTTGATAGTGCAAACCTCAAATACGAAATTAACATATGCAACTTAATATGTAGCATCATTTTTCTGAAAATGTAAAAAAAAAATATATATACTTGCATTCTCATAACTCTGCCAGCATTCTTCAATTCCTCTAATAATGCTTAGACTAAGAGCGCCACCTAATGGCAATACGATGCTAACATGTGCATCATAATTAAACGAGAGTACCTTTCCCTACAGAAAATTCCACAATATTTTAATAAAAACAAAAACAAGGGAACATCAAGTTCATGGTGTCAAAGAGGTTTCATTTTAGCAAAACATTCCTGAGCATTCACCAACAACAAAAATGACTAAAATCTAAAGATGTGGAATGGAGAAAAAAATATTGAAAAAAATCTTACACAATGTAACCAATTTTCTGTTCGTCTTTACACCATGAAAAGAAAAGAGGACTTAAAAAATACAATTACAAAGCCTGATTGGCAATGTACAAGCGGCAAAGTTTCTTTACACACAACAGATACACAAGGGAAGAGGTTTTAAGTTAATATCGTCGACCAAAGGCTCCGCCTCCCTGCATTCCGCTGCCTTGCATCACCTGATTCGGTCGGTTTAAGGCTCCAGAGAGTGACTGGGACGGCCCTGTCTGTATGTATCCACCTCGGCTGCAGAGCAGACAAATATAAGTTTCAGGTGCAACAAAAAAAAAAAACTGGTACAATTTACCCATGATACCCGCGCCACAGTCCAAACCCGACAATAAAAGTGTAAATCTCGCTACCTTGCCATTCCACCCCGTGCCATATGACCCTGTCCCGGGACACCTCGGTCTGCTCCTAAAAAAAAAGGTAGTAAGTCAGAAAGGAATAGAACATGCAACCTTTTCTGAACTTAACAGATGTTTATCGGACAAACCTTGCCAGTTTCTGTCCCCGTCCATTTTACGTCCAGGCTCCCAGTCTCGGTTGTCACGACTTAAAGCAAGCAGAGCAAAACAACTGAACAAGGAGAGGTCTTTGCCATTTAATGAAGCAGCACATCTGACGAGAAGAGAAAAAACAACTTACCCGCCTGGCACTGGCCTTGAAGGATTCATTCCACGCTTGTCAAAGCTGCCACCCCAATTGACACGATTGTCCCTGCCATGTCTTTCCCGATTTGAAAAGTGCTGTGAATGGAGAAAATATGATAAGATGCCATCCAATACCTGAGGATTAAATCTAATGATGGTCTGTGAAGGACTTTTCTTACCTGGTTGTCTCGGTCTCCTTGCATCCCGCCTCGGTTGTCTCTCCTGTTTGAAAAGGCATGCAAATTATTACAGTATAGTAGCAAAATCTATACACAAGAAATTTGGGTGCCATTGGACAGCGCTGGCATTACCTGTCCATCATCATGTCATCCTGAGAGCGGCTGCGGTCTCTGTGGTCAAAGTCTTGGTAGCGATCTTGACGTCCCAAATCCGACCGTCCATAGCGATCATCCATGTTCATTCTCTTCATCTGCCAGTCATCTTTTCTGTACATTTGAAAGAGGAAACAGAAAAACTGGATAAACCCAGACACTGCTGCAGTGTCAGAACTGACAAATCAAGATGCTCCTAGTCAGTGAACTTCTAAAAAGAATCAGGTAGATTTTTTCTGGTTTTGCTAATTTTTTGCAGAAGAAATATTTGGGAATTCGGCAACCCTACTCTATGCATACCTTCCATCCATGTCATAAGGCCTCTTAAGGGGACGTCGGTCCTGTTCAAAGTGTAGCTGTTCCTGTTGTCGCTTCAGCTCCTCCCTCTCACGATGAATGCGCTCCTGTTCACGCCGCCGCTCGAACTCTATTCGGAGACGTTCGCGCTCCAGAAACTCGCGCTCCATGCGATCGGAATTCAGTCGCTGCTTCTCCACCTCCAGCCAGTTGCGCTTCTTCATCAACCTCTCCTTCTCCTCCCGCTCCCTGAAGAGGCGGATACGCTCTCGCTCCGAACGGCTGTCGCGGTCTCGCTCACTGGAATGTAATTTAACAGGTTGAGAAATCAGTGGGAAAACTGCTAAGTTGGTTTTTGAACAACACTAGATCAGGCTGAGGGGAAGATGATGATGGGAGGCAGTAGTTACCCAGAGTGTCTGCGTCTCTCCACCTCTCTAATCTCTCGTTCTCTCTGCCTTTGACGCTCCCTCTCTCTCTGCTCTTTGATCTGGTCAAACGACAAAATGTCCTTCCTCTCCTTGCTGGAGGACTTACGGTCACGACTCTTAGTGCTCTAAAACAGAAATTGGTCCGTCACTTCAACAACACTTCCAAAACCACAAGGCAGTTGGATTTAAAACAGCTCCAATTATGAAACATACTCGTTCTTTGCTTTTTGTTTTCACGCTGATGACTGGCTCTCCTTTTGACTTGTCCATCACGACAGTCCTCTCTCCTCCTGGCTCTGTAATGGCAAGGTTGAACCATTAAGATCTGGACACTTTAAGACAGTGTTACCCAACCGGGGTGCCATCTGTCGAGAGCAGGGGTGCCGTGTAAAAAAAAACTTTTTTAATATTTTTAAATTGCTAAAATGTTAAAAAAAAAGCAGCTATTATATAATATCCATTTATGATGTCACCAATAATTAGAGATGCACTGAAATTCCGACCGCTCAGGATTCACTTTCACGTGGTGTGACGCTCTGCGTGTGCGCTCCGCTCAGTCGCTCACGGCCCATGTGAGTGCTCCACTCATATACCGTTCATGCTCATCAGAACAGCAAAGTCCACTCAAAAATCGAGCTGACAGGCAACATCTATATAGTACAGTATTGTTTCTGTTTGCAATAGCCCTACTGTGCTGTAACAAGGTGTGGTAAATGGGCAACTCTGTCCTCTCATTCATTGATCTGCTAACCGTTATGCTAACGTGCCCTCTGATAATAATAGCTTTCTAGGATTAAACATTATTTGGATAATTGGTAAAAAAAAAAAAAAATCTTTATAGCCCTACTGTGTGTTAGACCTACCTGAAAACCTAAAAAGCAATTATTTCATCTGTAGGCCTATCGTTATTTTTTATTTGTGCTATCATTAGTAATTTCTTCATTTGTTCTTATTTTATTATTAACTGTTTATCCTCCTTGTCATTTTTTTAGTCAATTCAACGTTTTAAATCAAGCCATCTCGTGCTACTGCAACAAAATTACCCAACTGTAAAATCAAAAATACACTGAGCAAAACTTTGTTTAATTACCATTAAAACCAGCTATCTCACAATGTTTACATATGAATAAAAGCCTACATTAAAATCTGTCATATAAATTGGTCTTTTCATTAGAAATTAGCCTGATTGCCACCATTGATGGACAATTTTTTTTTATAATATTACAAATATCTGTATGACAGTATATTCTGCAGTTCTTCCCTGCTTTACCGAATATCTATACTTTTCAAAAGTATCATATCGAAGTTAGAAATTCATATAGTGACAAAATTAATTTTGTAGGGTGCCACAAATTTGTTAAAATTTCCAAAGGGTGCCGCGACTAAAGAAAGGTTGGGAAACACTGCCTTAAGATACTACTTAAGGTATTAACAAATGTGAATGCAAGCTAACATTTTTACCTTTTCCATCAGAGTTTTCAGACTTCTCCTCTTTGTTCTCAGATCTGTAAGGATGAATCCGTATGATGAGATTGTTACACTTATTTGGCATGCAGAGATGTCTTCAAATACTATTGATCTACAACTTACTTTTCTGTCTTAGAGTCTGAAGAGTGTCTTCTGTCACTGCCAGACTTTTTGGTATCGCTTTTGTCAGCAGGCTTCTTTCCGGCAGGCTCGTTTTTAGCCTAAATACAGATACAGATCAATCAGCTGGCTTTGACTCCACACCTAGCGTCAATAATGTTGACAGCCACCCAACACTGATGCAATACTTCAAGCACCGGTGCAATTCATAATTGAAAGCTTAGAAATAAAGGCCCTTACACATGAGAGAAACCTTCTGCAAGGAAAGAAGATCCATTTCAAGTGAGAGTCAAGTCAGTTTGAACAAACCAAGTGAACTGGATCTCCAAATGTAGGAATTGTCATTGGTGAATGAGACACACCAATGAACACTCGCAGTGATTTCAGGCTTCCTCTAGCGCAGGGTTCCTCAAATCTTGCCCTGGAGGGCCAGTGCGCTACAGAATTTAGCTCCAACCCTGATCAAACTCACCTACCTGTGATTTTCTAGCGATCCTGGAGACATTGATTAGCATGCTCAGGTGTGTTTGATTAGGGTTAAAGCTAAACTCTGCAGGAAAGTGGATCTCGTGGGCCAGATTTGAGGAACCCTGCTCTAGCGTGTTAGCACCTTAATAATAAATTAAACCATGTACCCTTTCAACTGAAATCATCCGGCCGTGCAGCTCAGTTCTGTGCAGATGGCTGATGCACTTTGTGGCCTCCTCAGTAGAGCACATCGTAACAAAGCCATAGCAGCGAGCACCTGGGCTTCGGGCGTTTGTTACTACTTTAGCACCAACAACCTGCAAAAAGTACGGACATGTAATAATGGATCAGGACAATGTCTAACCTCAGTAAAACCTAACTTCCAATGTCTAGTTTTCTGTAACATGCAGACCTTGCCATATTTGCTAAACAGATTCTTTAGATCGGTCGCTCTGGTGGTTGAAGAGAGTCCACTGACCCAGAGGTTCCTTCCGCTAGCAGCTGCGCTACCTGATAGGGCACATAATCAATTTAGAAAAATCCAGAAACAATTTCTTGTTTAAAAGTAGTCCACTGGACACCCACCTTTATCATCTTTCGAGTCAGGCTTGCTTGATGTATCCTCATCACTACTAGAGAAAAACAAAACGGCATTATGAGAAATTGAATGGGCAGTTTAAATGGGATCACCAGTGTTGGTAAACAAATACCCACCTAGTGAGGACAAACAACCAAGCAATGAACAAAGATTTGGATACTACAACTTAAATAGTCATGTGAAGCCCAATTACGTCAAACATACCTTGGACTATGATGGCGAACCAAATTTCTGGTACATTACTTTTTGAAGGTAGAAAAGAAATGACAAAATGGTAGACGAAATGCGCAGTTGCTTATACCTCCCAAGAGCACCCATACTTGTTAAAAAAGGAGCCAATGAAACAAAGAAAGCCATTGTTCTAGTAGACAGAAAACAACAAACCTCTTTTTCTGATCATCACCCTCTACAGAGGACTCTTTCACTTCTGAAGACTCAGCAGGTTCAGTCTTCTTGCATTCCTCGACCGCTTCTCCTTTAGATGCCCTTTCCGAATCAACTGCGCTTTCGATATCGCACAAATCTGTTTCGCTAGCATTAGTGGCCTGAGCAGAAGTGCTCTCGGTGTCCCCCAAATTGTCCTGAATGTTTTCTTGGTCCTTGCTTGTTGATTCAATTTCACTTTGCTTTGATGCATCAACGTCCATTTCACAGGCTGACGATTCTGCTTCCAAATTGGTGGCCTCCTCGGTGTTAGCGAGGTCCTGCACATTGTCTTCCTCTTTGTGAGAATCCCAGACTGAAGATTTCTCGTCTTCAGTCGGCTCTTCAGTGGCGTCTTCCTTAAGTGGCTCTGATATACAAGACCCGGCTACTTTCTCACTTTCTACGGATTTAACAGGAATAGAATGGCACAGAGTTTAATCACTTCTGAGACATTGCAATGGTTATCGTGGAACTGGACTAGGACGTGGCCCTCTGCTGTCTCATACACAAGCAAAGGCAAGCTACCCTGTGAAGAGACTGGAAAAACCAAAGCGAGAACAATCAACAAGCTTCCAGACAACAGGCCATTTCTTTTCAGTTCACCTGCACCCCCAAAGCAGAGGGCAAGCTGTTGACTAGGGAAAGCCACAAGACCTGCACCACATCCAAGTGTCCATCGTCGACTTTAGTACTTGAAGTGTCCGTGATATGGAAGCAGCAGCTTGTGCTTTCTTTACAGGAATTGTGTTTCTTTTGAAACAAGCAAATGGTCCATTAGTGAAATCTCCAATTAACAAACTTTGAGTCCTATAGAGATTTTGCTTCAGCATGATCCAATTCTTCTCATCTTCTCTTTGTGGTCTTCTTTAGGCAACCTAGAAACACTAAATTGCATCTGCAACAACCATTTAAACCAATCTATGTGCTAACTGAAACAGATTACTGGCTCTTTGCATATCTGCACCTTTCAAAAAATCATGTGACTATAAAGTGGTTATAAATCAATATAAATGGCTAAATGTCTATTGAAAGCAATGCATAAAGCCAGTAACCAACTTTGGATTTCCAGTCTCTTGCTCCTGAGTAACCTGATACATTTATACTAAAAGGACTTTACGGCTTCACCCTGACCTTAAGAGCAATTCCAGACAACCCCATACAGTACCTTTTTCACTTTTTGTGTCCTCGCATCCATGCTCACCATCATCCCCCTGCTAAAGGAAAATAAGTAAAGATGAATAAAAGAAACCCAACGCCCATCAGAAAGAAACAACTCTCAAAAATGTTAACTTGAATACCTGACAAGGCGCTTCCTGGTTCTCATCCACATCTGCGTCATTAGGCTCCATTTCCTGAAAGCCAAAGAAAGCGTCACACAATGTGCAATAAGAACAGAACGGCGGTATCAATGGCTAATTTTAAAACCTCACCTCCTCCTCCCCAGATTTACTCATGACATCACCACAGACATCCTCCACGTCACTGTCATTTGTATCATCCTCCCTCAGGTTGTCGGTGTTCTCTTCATTCGACAATGTGTCTAGAACCTCCTCGTCATATTCATCTCCATCAGGCCCACCTCCATTGCCCATATCAGCTTCATCCAGGACATTCATGTCCATAATATCCATCTCATGAAGGTTCTCTGGAATAGCATCCAGGTCCTCCTAAAGGAAGTAAAGGCGGCTCTTAATTTTGATAAACCTATGCAAAATAACCCAACCCAGTTACATTTGTTTTCATCATATCTGTGAACAACTTTATATGATGAAGCACCTGGCCATCAACAGAGTCCTCCTCAAGGGTGCAATCTTCAGGTTCATCAGGTTCATCCGGTCTCTTTCCTATAGAACGAAACAGAAAAATGTGTTTTCAAACTATAAACTTGAAGCAAGTTTTGTGCCGATTTGTGAAACATGATTATGTAGAAAATGAGTTAAAAAAAAAAAAAACACTTTTACCTTTTGGAGTTCGCCGAGGTGTTTTTTTAGGAGTTATCTCTAGGTGTACAATGATCTCATCTGGATTCCCGCCCTCTTCTTCAATGACCTAAAAATGAAAGTATGATTTATAGAGTCAAATACAAGTCTAACTGCTATCCATCTTCCTACTGTTTACAGCTTCACAAAAATCCATCATTATTCTACAATGACAACCTACACTTCATTCACTGCATATTACATAAGCATTGAATTCAAAACATCCTGCAAAGCCAGTTTGATGTCTGAAACAGCCACAGTTGTGTGTAAAAAATAAAATCAAATATGGGTCCGTTCGTTTACATGATCGACATTTTAGGGAGGTTTATCACAAATAAAGCGTTAAAATGGCCGAGATCCCGACTGGTGGGTTGCTGCCGCTTCAGTGCAACCAGTCACTTTCAGCTCCGAATTGAACGCGTTTCATATCCCTCCATAAAACGTCGATCATGTAAAAGAATAAAGTCATATGAACATATGTACCATATATATTTTTTTATTCCCGGAGCTAACGTTAGATTGGAAGGAGAGCAAAAAACATAAATCTGCCATAAATCAAGGGTTCCTGACAACCAGTTAGGGATTGAGCCACTAATGCAAAAAAAACTTATGCATTTGACAAATTAACACTAGTAATCCAATGCATCCTATCAGCAAAAACAGAACACGAATCGCCTATAAACAGCACATGTAACGTTACTACAGTAAACATCCACACCAGTATGCAAGCAAAGCATGTTTAATCTAACACATAATAGGGAGTTGCAAAATGATTCGATATGTTTATATCTGGTGTTATATCTCTTGCCTTTTTGAGTCTTTCTGAAAGCAGGCTCTTATTGCCGCTGATGTCGAGATTTCGGCGCTTCAGCTCGGCCTTCAAATCGATCACTCTCAGCTCCGATAATTTACGAACGCCCGCCTCCACAGGCCCCACGTCTGCTGTCGACGAGTCTGACATGTTTTCAGGTTGTGAGAACGTTACGGTGGAAGCAGACGGACGAGTCTCTCTCTCTCTCTCTCTACCCCGCGTACACTCACCGAATTTTACAGAGCGCGATGAAGAGCGTTTACTTTCTCAGACGAAACAAAATGGCGCAGTCCACTGGCGTAGCGTCCTGCGCATGCGTCCGCCTTGGGATTTTAGGCGCATGTGCGCAAGCGTCAGCATGGTCAAGGTCGGTTTGAAAGGAGCGCGGGAAAAACTGTTGTCAAAGGTTTTTGCAAATTTGATACATTACAGGTGCGAATGGAAATCGAATATTATACAAAAATAGTCTATTTAGTCAGTTATTCATAACATTTTACATTAGCTGATGTGATTATAATATTTAAGAGCATTTTGAAAGGAGTGCAGGAACTTGATATAATATTTTGCCTGTTTTTCTAAAAATAATGTTACTTGGTCTTTTAGTGAGTAAAATGCATTATGAGTAGCAGATTATAATTACACGTTGCATGTCAGCCACGATCACCTAACATAGTGTGTGCTGATATGTTTTAGAGGGTAAAAACATAAGTGTATATGACTTGCATGTTTGCGTCAATTAACGATACAAAATGTTTGGAAAGATTGGTTTGTCAGGAGCATGGGAACTGCTGGGGATTTGTTATTGGTCATTTGTTTTATTGCTAGATATGTATTTTGTTTAGCATGATGAAATTCAAGCGATAGATACATTACAATCATTACCACAGACAGAATCATTTGTGGTGTAGTTTAATGAAAAAAAACAAACGAAGACAAAATAGGATAATTTAATGCACTGGCAAATGTATCATCAATACGATACTGTAAGCTGTACGAGTACACCAGCTTTCTCAGTTACATTACATTCACAAGCTTCTGTAACATGGCAGTCAGGGTGAAATACAACAAAAATCACACTGTAACATACACTGTAGCATCCAAGATGCACAGCTTTGAACACTTTCCTGCTAAATGGAATTTGGTAAGTTGCTAAATTTAAATGGGAGCTCCTGAGAAGAGGCGCTAGGCAAACTCTTGATGGCGGGAGGTTCTTCAGCTTCAATGAACTCAGGACATATGGTTTCCTCTGGTTCATTCTTTAAGCTAGAAAATGTGGGTGATTCCATGGGTCCTTGATAGTAGGACCAGGATGTAGATGCAGATCCGATGGAGGAAGGGTTTAAGTTGGGCAGGTTAGCTCTGAAGCTTTCACTGAAGGATGAAGACTCCATTATACTGGAGATTTGTCGGTCAGAGGAGGAGGTGTGAGAGAGTCGTGGCTCGTGGAGGTTGAGTTTTGACACTAATGGTTTGCCAACACTGACTCTTTGCTCTTCCAAGACCTCTTCATCCAGATTAGTGTACTTGTAGTGTATACAAACAGTAAACGAGAGCTCTTTCTGTGAGGGGAAAAGCAAGTAAGATATGCCTTATAATATATATGCTTTATACGTAATACATTAAATATACAGGGATTGGACAAAATATTGTGAACACCCATTATAGGGGTTAATCAAATTTGTGTAGGCTACAGTGAAAAAACAAACGTTGATTATCTTTTATTTATCTTTTCAGTGTTTAGTACAAGTGCTCAGTGAAGTGATTTGTCAGACTTCCAAAAAGGACAAGTCATTGAAGCCCGTTTAGCAGGAACATCCGTAACCTTAACAGCCCAATTTGTTCAATGTTTTAGGAACAACAGTCTTTACAATTGTGACTACGTACACAAAGCATGGCAAGACGTTATCAGCAAAGAAGAATAGCAGGCGAAAACCGAAAAGTGGATAATATGGGCCGTCAAACACTATGAAGGATTGTGTCCAAACAACACAGAACTACTGCTGCAAAATGACAGCAAACCTCAAGTCACCATAAATACCTAGATTCCACAAAAACTTACCACAGAGAGCTTCACAAAGCCAACATCCTTGAAAGTGCTGCACCTGCTAAAATTTTAATCACCAATACTAAAATGTGAAAATGATGGTGTGATCTTAAACCTGATCTTAAAACTTCAACATCTGCCCTGGCCAGAAAAATCACCTGAAAATCACCTGACTTGAATATTACCAAAACCACTGTGAACAGTTTGGAGAGAATAATGAGAAGCAGATTCCCTTCAACTTCTCTGAAATAAGTGGCTGATAGATGACATTCCACTTGAGCCTATCAAGATCCGAAGATTATGATAGGCTGTCTCATTTGCCTGTCAATGTTTGTATTTAGATACCTCTGTGCAACCTGTTCACGTGGACATGATACGTCATCAGCGTGTTCCGTTACGCTATTGCAGACCGAGCAAGAATGGAAGGCATTATTAGTGTAATATTATACGCTTTGTACTGTAATGTTTTCTCACCGGCAAATGAGACATGAGGTAATCTGACAGCATTGCATTCAACTCTCCACCAACACTGTCTCTCATTTTGTCACTGGTTAGCCTCTAGACTGCCTGAGCGCGTTCATGTGTTTTGGAGGAACAGTGGCTTTGCAGAGTGATTATGCAGGGAGGGTGGGATCTTGCTTTCAGAGCTAGCTTGTTATTGCTAGCCTTTCCGAAATCACCTACCCTACCTTTAATAAAGAAGATTAATTCCAGGTGTTCCCTCATTTTGACCAACTCCTGTATTATACTGTGCACATACTGTACCTTGAGCCTTTGCAGGGCACTAATACGAGTGAAGAGCTGAGGCTGTTCCAGAGGCAGTAGATCATCCATGGACAGTAGTAAGCTGCCAGCCTCGCGAAGACTCTCCTGATTGCTGTGCTTCAGGTCTATTTCAGGACCCTGAAATTATATCATTGTCAAAACTGACTACAGAAAAATTCATTAACAATCAACAGAAGATACACCAAGTTAAAGCAGGCCATGAAAAGGCAATGTATTTAATTCATAGGAAAGCAATTAATCTTTGTTATATTTTCTCAGGACTAATTCAATACATTCTTTGCATATCAAGAAAGTCAGTTTACCTCTGTAAAATCAGAGAGCTGAGCAAAGCAGGACAAAATGTCTTTAGGAGTCTCCAATATCCGAGAGTAGATGATCATGATATTGGAGAACTCTGCAGCAAATCCTAGCTGTACCCTGACACCACATTCGAACTGAAGACAGGAGCTCTCTGGGAGAACTGGAACAATTCACACAAAATCGCCATTATGTATATCATAATTTTATCTACAGCCAAAGTGCTTTGCATAAGGATATAAACTAAAGGGGTTTTATTATGAAAAGGTCGAACCATGAGCGATGGCCCACTGTAAGTTTCGCGTTGACGCTGTGACTTGGCATGCTGGAGCCTGAATGCTGTCTGTCAGGGCACGACGCTCCGAGAGATTACTGCGCAGCTCTAGAGCCTGCCGACCACGAGTGATTTCACACCTTCCCATGTCTGCAATGGACACTGACTCTGTAAAACTATGCGGTCACACTTGCTGTCATCTTTTTTTTTTTAAGAGCCTATGACATAGATGTGGATTCAAAGTAATTGCACATTTTGTAAAAAATTTTGTTTGAAAAGTAGTTCAAACAAAATGTCAATACCAACAATGATTTGAACATTAATCCCAAACCTTCAGCTACTTTGTCAAGTATGACCGTGACCTTCTCTGGCTCCATCAGTCTTTTCTTAAGGAAGCTCATGAAGATTCCATTAGAGAGATCGTCTTTATTTACTTCAAATGCTTCGGCATCAACACACCTGAATCCAGAAAGTGAAGATTGTAATCACAATTTCTAGATGTCAATAAAATGATTGTCATTGCATTAGACTTACGTTGCATAGCCAAACACTATGTTTGCTGTCACTCTCAAGGGGCCAGGTTGTGGGATGCTTTCGTCATTTGGGTTTCTGAATGAACAACACAACTGAAGTCAGTTTCAAGTAAAATTTTATGCACAATAATTCAGAACTGATACACTTATGAATCAAACTGCACCGTTTCCGACACATGTCCAATAGAAAGACATTAAGTCCCGTCTGGCGCTCTTGCATGCGCTGTAACACATCCTGCACCCAGAGGCAGTGCTTGAAGGTATAAGAGGCTGGAGCATCGATGGGTACCATGAAACTGTTCCCATAGTTTTCATAACCATGACCAGCAAAGTACAACAGCCCTTGAAATGGTGGACATGGATGAAATGATCCAAATGTTTTTAATAAACAAACAATCAGGATGTGTAGAACTTAGAAACTGGCCTAACATTTTATAGTTGCAGAAATCCAAATGATGCAACAAGGAACTAACCATAAACCCCTCGATCCAACAGCAGCAAGAACTCAGTAACAGCACTATGCATCTCCTGCCAGTTGAGGTCCAGCAGAGAGACGACTTTAAAGTCTAACTGGCGTAGATGGTTTGTCAACTCATGCACATCTGCCATGGGAGCTCTCAGCTGCCGGTGATGCAGGTAGTTCATGTTCCCAATAAGCAGTGCTACCTTATCAGTGGCTATAATTTTTGAAGTGACAAGATTGACATAGCAGATCCTCCGAATACAATAAATGCCAAGAGTAACCACCACACTTCTGCTTATCACTTACCGCAACAATCACCCATTTGTCTTGGACCTGCATAAGGAGCACCTGTAAAACATAATGGTGCATGTGAGTGACAAGAAAGCATCAGTAGATGTGTTAAATTCATACAATTAAACAGATTGTGCTTACCTACTTTAGGCGCTTCCCATGAGGCATCAGAAAAGGAACCAGGACCTGAGTGAAAACAGGCCATGCTATAAAGAAAATCTATTTATTTCATTTATATTTAAGGGGATAATTATAAATAATTTTGTCTTGGCGTCCTACCTATGTTTACTTGGACCTGATCACTCCACGCTTCATGATAGAGGTTGTAAACCTTGCAAGTATATGTACCTCTGTCTGCTGTGGTTATGCATGGAATCTGAGGACAAGCACATATAGATGCCCAAGTAAGTAAATTCAAGTGAATTACTCTACACATTCAACTGTGAGACTTTGATGAGTACCTTTAAGATGCTTCTAGTACAGTTTGGCATTGGCTGTTTGTTAAGATACCATTGGAACTGGGGAGGCGGGTTGGCCTGAGCAGTACATTCGAGATAGAGAGTGTCTCCCTCCATCAACACTTGAGGCCTAGGTTGCTGAGT